TTGAGAAGGAACTGGAGCGAGTGAGAGAGGGATACGAAGGCATTGAGCGGCGCCGAATGTCCTACCTCGTGCACGCCGAGAGGTTTTTCGACATCGAGACGAAACGGCATAATGTGGCAATGCGCGCGGCTCATCAACTGGATGTTCAAATTAGAGACATGATCCACTCCCCTCCACTTGCCCAGTTACACTTAAATCATGGTAGTAGATTCGGGGCCATATCGGGCTCTGCTGCAAAGCCTGTCACCTTCAACACCAACAAGAGCATTATTTTGGATCTCGACGGCAATGAATTTTCTGACCTGCCGGCTCCAGACTCCGCTTCACAATCTGCCGGACTAACGGGAAGCAGTCAGTCGACAGGTAGTGTACCTCGCGAATGTGTACTATCACCAAGGTTTAAAGACAATGGTCTTTTGGGACTTGGGTTAGATGAAGACATCGGCGGCCCCACTGTTGCTTTTTCCCTCAATAACAACTATATCCATAGCATCACCAACAAACGACATAGGGTGGAGCTCGCGTCTGCCTAAACTTATTCGCCTTCTGCATTTTAGGTGTTATTACTAATGGTAACGATGCCTTTTTTCATTATTTAATATAGAAAATGAAAATGAGAGGTACTTATGTTTACTCTCAAAGAGTAAGAGAAAAAAAACAAAGGAATGTTGTGAAAAGACTATAATAGATGGTTTTCAATCTTGCTTATTTTTACACGAGTACGTAAACAATGTACTGTCACTTTATTTAGAACTTGAAGAATTAAAAATGACGCATATATCCATGATGGTAGATTCAAGAACAGATATAAAATTTATCTAGATGTTATACCTTTTGTAAAAGGAAAAGGCGGAGTAGAAGTCAGCAAATGTTTGCTGTGCAACACCATCCCTGACGTAGGCTGAATGGTGGGTGGTGGATCTGCCTTCTAAGATGTAAACTAATGAACATAACTTTTGCTATCCTCCTATATTTTTTATCGATTCAGCAAACGACGGTGGCCTTAATAGTTGGACCAGTTCATTCTCACATTATTTAATTTCAATTGTCCCCCCTTTCCATTCGACAATGCCGATTGCTGGTGGCTTTATGGTACAGAGATTCAAATGATTTGATCTATTCCTAAAGTTTGAGGTAGACGCACACCAGAAGACTATATCGGGCAACATCTTCTCAGTTGTATCATTTGTCATCATTTCGGTGCTGATCATCAGTGAAACACACTATTTCCTTTTTTCTCATACGGCGCATGATATGCTAGTTGATCCCAAAGTAGGCGGTGAGATGCCAATAACTTCCAAGCTCACCTTCCATCGCATTTCATGTGACCTCATAGTCATTAATTCCATTGACGCGCTTAGTTCACATATGGATCACATAGCGAAAAGACAGTGAAGAAGCGTGTGAATTCTGATACATTGAGACCGTTTGGAGAGAAAAATCTCATTATAAATAAAGCATTGGTAAATAGAACACTTGACCAAGATAGTGCGAAAGAATTCCAATGCCCATCCTGCCACAGTGCCGAGTTGTACAGAGGCCACTGCTGCTTTACTTGCAACGATGTCCAAAATGCCTATAAGCAAAGAGGCTAGAAGTTTAGCACCGAAGATTCCGAAATTGAGAAGTGTTCAGAGAGGTCTTCACAGTTGGTGGTCTCGGACGTGATGCTATATCACAATGTAAAGCGCTTAAAAAAGCACTATGAAGGGAATTTAATGTGACAAAAAAATATGGAAGGTTTAGAATATGAATTTACATTATGTCTAGGACAACCTTCATTACGCGTGAAATAAAATAAAACCCCTACTGCTGGTAGACCGCTTATAGTGTCTGCTTTTTGTGTCCTTTTCAAGCCTCCAATTTGCTCTGTTTGTATGAAAATTCCTTTGAGTACGGCTTCAACGACCCACATTGAGTCTGCCACTCCACAGATCTCTGGTGGCTAGACAAGTACACCTACAAACAACCTCATCTCATGCGCCCTTTCATAACCTTTGCTAGGAACTTGCTCGTAGCGCTTACATGGTTGCTGAATTCGGTCGTCGTGGGGTCCTTTGAGGTGGAAATGGAAGCAGGGGAGCGGGACACCGGGCTTCAACTTCAGCATTCCAGACGGCGGCTTGTTTAACCTCGACGCGATCGCGACAACCACATACAACCCACGCCTTCGCCAGCGTCGACAGGGTTATGTGCGTTCTCTACACTAACTACTACACGGCTATTTGCAATAAAGGACGAACTGAGGTCCTCAACATGTGGTCACTGGCGACCGAGGGAAGTCTGAGCTATATCGCACCGAGCGTGGAGAAATCTGAGCATGGGCTTCCGGTAGATATTACCATCTGCTTTGACAACTCCTTTTTAACTTTCTACCTCAAAGTGGGTAAGCTTTTCGATGATGAAACACGACGCGCTGAAGATCGATCCTAATACACAGCAAAGTTGACGTACAAATGGAGCAGAAACTTCATGAATATGGGAAGGTGATCTTCACACTGGCAAAAAACACTGATGGGCTTCGGTTGGCCAGCGAGGCAGATTGCATTAAATATTACTCGACTACCGCCATCATCGGTATTGGGCTTTCGATCAGCATTCTGGGGCTTTTAACTCTTTCGATGTTCCAATACAACACTCCGACTCGTTTCACGAAGTGAATTCAGTAGTAATCCTGGTCATTTAATTTAAGGGTAGTCACTGAGTATCCTGGTACACGAGCCTTCATGTGTTTTTCCTTCATCAGTTAAGCCCAAAGTGGCAAAAAATGTAAATGGTTGTAAACCGTGATGAATAAATTGCGAATTCTTATTTTTTATAATCAGCCTCAGCACCGCATCAGGTGCGAGGTTGAATATATGAAAAATTCGCAGCGCGATAGGGTACAACAACACATTAGTCATGAATGGGTTAAATTATAGAACGCCATTAAGGCATAGCTTTCTCGGGCTTGTGTCATGGTATATAAATCCACTCTTCTACTATTCCCCCCCCTTTGTTCATACTCTTTGGGTTTGATCGCCTGGGATTCACCCTAAGTATCAAATCGAATATAGTTCATTGCGAAATAGCAGTACGAATATCCCACTCTCCTTAGACACAAGTGAGTTGAAACAGGTAAGTGACTACGAAAACGAGGCGTCCAATGATAAGACGTCTGCACACACGAATTATCGGCATGGGGTCTGTATGCGGGCTCGCGCCGTCCCCACCAGCCGAGGTGTTCTTAAAAACGCTTCCCCCACCTAGTGAAATCGATCCGGTAAAGTATCGCCGATTCCAGCGTGAGGAGGAAGCGAAAGAAGGGTTCGCTAGAGGAAGCCCACCCGACGCCCCCTCCTGTCCTGTAGTGGGCAATAAATGTGGTCGCACGCGCGCCACCCCTCGACGTGCGCCCGAGCCGTTTTACGACATCGTGAACGGCGCGGCGGGTCATAAACACGTCGTCTTGGTAACCCGTGAGGGTCACCTGATCACATTTGGGGACAACCACTACGCCCAGACGGCCGCACCGCGGGATAAGGCGGAGGCCCATCCAGCCCGCGTAGGGGGACCCTCGGCCCCCACATCGGATTGGGACCCGTGGTTCATCCCCACTGCCGCGGCCTTTCACCAGGACGACGGGGCCCCCCTTTCCCTCGGGGTCGCCTGTGGGACGAACTTCACGATCGTTTACGAGCGCGGCGGCCGCCGAGCCATCGCCTTCGGCAACAATCACATCGGGCAGCTCGGCGTGGGCCATAAGGACACAGTGGGTCACAGAGACACAATAGACCATAAGGATACAGTAAGCCACAGGGACTCAATGGGCCGCGGAGTCGAGGAGTGGGGACCGGGGACAGGGGCGGGGTGGGGACCCCCTGAGTGCCGTCTCCGCGATGTCACGTGCGGCTACAACCATTCCGTTGCCACACTCCAGGGTGGGCTGCTCTTCGCCTTCGGGAGCAACACCTGGGGGGAGCTCGCGATCGGGACGACCACATCGCCGATGTGGCCCACAAGGATTGAATTCTTTGAGAAGAGGAACATACCGGTGAAGAAAGTGTGCTGCGGCAACTCCATTACCGTCTTCCTGACGGAGGAAGGTAGGGTGTATGGATGCGGAGCCACCAACTATGGCCAGTTGCCGTACAATGCCTTTGAGCCCGTCCCTATCCCGCTTATTCGCACCTTCATCGATCCAGGCACAAGTGAAACCACCCCACGTACTGTAGAAAGAAGAACGGATGGGCAAAAACTCATTCGCATTAGAGATATCGCCTGCGCCGGCAGTCTAGTGGTTTTTCTAAGCTCAAAAAATGAGATCTTCATTCAGGGTGCGTTGCCCGAGTTTGGCGTCCTAGTTCCATCACCACGACTTGCTGTAGTTGATCAAACCGCCGCCATTTGTGCTTTCAAGGAATCCTTGAAAGCAAATTCCTCGGTTTGTTCGGATATAGACGGTTTTTCTGTGGAAGAAATGGTATCAAGTCCATCCTCAGTGCTTGTTCGCTACCGAAATGGATGCGTTGGTGCTCTAGGATCAAACTCCGAAGGACAACTGTACAACGTTAGAAAAGTGATCCACGGTCGGTCCGTAAATCTTGCACCATCATTTGCCTCGACAAGTTTGTTCCCGATGTACACCCCGACATCAGCATTGTCTCGGGGTGTGTGGAAGCGATCTTGGCTAACCTGTGGCAGCGGATTCAGCTTGCTTGTTGACGTCGACGAGGTTTATTCTATTTACGAACAGGTGCAACCGATTGAGCTGCCGCCCGGGGAAATAATCCGAATGACTGATGCTATGCGGAAGAGTTTATTGAAGGGTATTCGTTAAGTATTCAAAAAAAAAGTTCATTAGACAAAACTAATGACAATGGGTCGCAAACTCTTTTGGGCGGACGCCGCCGCTTAATCTCCTTTACCTTTCCCTTTTCCTTCCGCGCGCCGCTTCCCAGCAGTGCCTGGACTCCGACTGGTGAAAAAAACTTTGCCGTGACCCGGGATCGAACCAGGGACCTTCAGATCTTCAGTCTGACG